CCACCAACTGTGGTTCCACCTCAGGAACTGGAGAGGCCACCGACTGTGGCTCCACCTCAGGAACTGGAGAAACCACCAACTGTGGTTCCACCTCAGGAACTGGAGAGGCCACCGACTGTGGCTCTGTCTTAGGAACAGGGTAAACCACCCATGGAGGCACATGTTCAGTCTCTGAGGTGGCTTGAAGCGTCTGTAGAGGGCTCTTGGCGGTTTGTGGCCCCTGCTGAGAGGCTATTGGAGGCATATTTTCACCAACTCCGAACTCTGAAGCCCACTTAAGTTTATGCTCAGGGGTCTCTGGACGGTACAGGGCAGGCTCAGGGGTCTCTGGACGGCACAGAGCTGACTCAGGGGTCTCTAGACGGCACAGAGCTGACTTAAGGCGACGCCGTTTCTTACACCGAGGGGTCTTAGGAGCTAAGCTAACAGGTTTACTGATTGAATCTGGCAACAAATTAACCGGTTGGAAAATTAGAGTTCCAGAATGGATTACAGGATCTGAGGCTAAAAAATCAGGCATGGGGTCAGGTTTAAAACTAACTGGGTTACTTTCTGGTTCTGGAGCTGGATCTGGCTGGCGTGGAGCTGAATGTGGTGGCTCGAAAGGGAAGATATCCTCTCTATCCCCATAAAAATAATTCCAGAGATCAGACTCATGGATGTGGGGAGCTCCTAAGCTTCGGGGTGAGAATACTGGACCTATTTTAAGTTTCTTAATGGATGGAGAAATATGAAGGATCATATAAATGAGAGTTGAGACTGACCTGGTGCAAAAAGGAACTGGAATCCTGAGTCTGAGGGTGGACGGCTCTGGATCTTGTTTGCAATTCAATATCCAGCCCTATAGCTAGCTCTATGAGGTCCTCAAGGTTAGCTGGCTCATCGAAAAAAGTTAGTTAGTTCCTGACAGGTTCATTTAGGGCAAGGAGAAACGCGGTCTTAAGTGCAGATTCGTTCCACCGGGAAACGGCTGCTTTAACCCGCAAGTCAGAGGAAAACTCGGCAACGGATCTATCTCCCTGTTTAAGTTAAAAAAGTCCACTAGAAACGATGGACTTAGTGACCTGATTAAAGGTTCTTTCAAATTCCTGGATGAATGTTTCATAAGTACAGTTAGAACTAGATTTCGACGGAAATCTGGTCTCCGCCCATTCAAGGGCTTCTCCGGACAGAAATGACACAACAAAAGCTATCCTATCCTTATCATACAGGAAACTAGACTCATAAAATTCAAAAAATAACCGACACTGAAACAGAAATCTCCTGAGCTTACTTGGATTGCCGGAAAATCTCTCAGGCAGAGAAGGGCTGAGTGAAGAAAACGATGGGCTGGGTTCTGACCAGAAAGGAGGATTATTATCTTGACTAGGAAGTGAGGTCACTGCCGGTGACCTAGGAGACGGAAGTGAATTCGGAGCTGGACATGCCGCTGACGTGGCGTTAGCATTATCCAAGTGGCTAGCGAATGTTTGATTCAGATGTGACTCACGGAGGGTTTGTGCATGTCCATGGATCTGAGCTTCCCGTTCCTCAATCCACCGACGGAGGTGATCTGCTGGGCTTTGTGTTTGGCCGCAGTGTTCTGTCATGATTGGTACAAAGGAGCAAGCCCTTATGCAGAACACACACGGAGGAGGCAGGGAAAAAGTTCAAATGTTTATTAAAGT